CTCTCATATCTTGGGACCAACGTGGCTACAACAATACTTCATATAGTATAGCAATGGCTTTTGCCACAGGAGTATTCCAGTCCCTCCCTGCACCAGGGCTAATTTCTCAACATCATCTTTTAACTGAAGGCAGGGCTACATTTAGGCAATATGAGTCTGTCTACACTAGAAACAAGTTGCTGGTTTAGCTATGTTATACCAGAAAAAGCCCCTAATATAGATGCAGTTATATCAGCAAAAGATTGCTTTTGCTGTGCTGGCAAAAACACCTTTTGCTCATACAACTTTGTCTACATTAGGGGATTTTGGCAGGATAAAAATTTTGTAAAACATCCCCCTGAGTCACATTACTAAACCGGGGAAAGTGTTTAGCATAGACCTGGGCTGAGGTCCTAGGCTGTGTGGTCCCCATTTGGTGTGGAGGTGGCTCCAGCTTTTCCCTTAGGAGTGCACTAGGGACTCTGTACTTCTCAATCCTCTCCAGTCAGTTTCCCCAGTATTTACCTCAGGGGTTATCCACTGTGACAGGTGGACTAGGCTCACTGCACTCTTTCTTGCCTGCCACACAGATTTCTCTGCTCGTCTGGTGTTTGCAGGGGCCCTCCAGGGCAATGGGTTGTGGAATTAACGTCATATTGAACTGTATGGGGTAGTTCACTCTTCTGAGAGCTATTGTTTCAGGCTGCCTGCAGACTCAGGCAGACATCACAGCATTGTTTACACTTGGTCACAGCATCATAGAAGTGTAGGACTGGAAGGGACCTCGAGAGGTGATCTACTCCAGTCCCCTGCGCTCAAGGCAGGATTGCGTAATAATTAGACTATTCCTGAAAAGGTGTTTGTCTAACGTGTTAGTCCAAGTGTATACATCTTTGATAAACAAAACATCTCCTCCCTTTTTTTCCCTGCCTGTCCTTCCCCTGCCTGTCCCTGAAGGGAGTCTGAACCCAGCCTGCAGCTAGGGCTGGATTAAGGCGTAAGCATTATAGACTCATGCCTTCTATACCAATATTCCAGCCATGTGTATTATCCCACCAAGTCTCTATGATGCCAATTATGTCATAGTTATGTTTATTTCACTATTCAGTATTTCTAGTTCTTTCTGTTTAATCCCTACTTCTTGCATTTGTATACAGACATCTAATACGCTCATTTGATTTCTTCTGTGTTCCCTCTTGTCTCCCCTTTGCCCTGCTATGATGGCCCATGCGCCCCCTAGACTCCAACCCTTCTCCCAGGTCTCCATGTTTTTGACTTGGCTTTTGTCTCCCATCTCCATCGAACCTAGTTTTAAGCACTCCTCGCTAGTATCCAGGTACTCTTCCCCTTCCTTGATAGGTGGACCCCATCTGTGCTCAGTAATCCTTCTTCCCAGAACAGCATCCTGTCATGTTTGTCAAGTTTTCCTTCATAACCATGACAGCTAGAAATTTACTTTTTTTAATGGAAGCTAAGATTCTGATATAAACACTTTACTCCCGGGGCTCTAGGCATGAATCTATAATGCTTATGCCTTAATACAGCCCTGGCTGCAGGCTGGGATCAGACTCCCTTCAGAACACTGAAATGGGCTAGCATAGTCATGCTATACTAATGGCCTAAATTTCCTTTCTTTCTCATCATACAATATGACACATGATCTTCATTGCTCTTCTCTAGCCTGCCACTCCCAGTGAGCTGTGAAAGACAGAGAAGAGAATTCAAATGCTGATCCCCTGTATGGCAATGTCTCACTGCTCAGTCACTAGCATGGCTATCAAGTTGTTTAATGGCCTGTAATAGTGCATTTGGCTGGATTTTCTGTATAATTCATAAATGGGGATACTGTCCCTCTGGATTTGTCTGACACATGGATTTTGTTGTTCCTAATGAGATCTTCACAGGCTGTCAATTATTTATGTAGTTTAAGCGAAATACACAGAATGGGATTGCTATACTTCAATTATGCACCTTCAAAATGTTAGGAAGGGAATCATCCCTGATTCCATGTCTCATACGCATATTTTCTCTTTTGTGTCTGTTCTAAAAAGGCTGTAAGTGACACTGCAGGGGGTTTAGAAGTGAAAAAAGAATTAATCCCAGTGCTCTTTTTAATTCCCTTGCAAACGGAATACAGTAACCAAATAGCATCAGCTTTCACAGAAACAGGAGACAAAGGGGGAAAAGAGATTTCCAACTTTATTTTGGTGTATTGTGTGAACTCTTTTCTACTGTAATTCACAGGTAAATGCAAGCATGTTGTCATTTAGCTATTGTGTGCAGTAGAGAGCTTACTGCAAGGCATGCATGGGGTTCAATGCAAGCAGCATTGTGCAAGCATTTATCCAAAGCTGAAACGAAACTATCCTTTACTCTTGCAATATAAAGTTTAAGGACATTTAAGATCGTTCTTCGAATCTTTCTGTACCTTGACAGCTCTATTCTGGTTTTGTTTTTTGTTTTTGTACTCGCTATAAATGTACACGTTGTTCTTCTCCTCCTTATCCAGTCATACAGGCTGCTTGATGGGTGCATTGGCTGCATAACTCTTTGTAACGGAAGCCTTCAAAAGACTGGCCTCAAAGCTTCCATCCATTAATGCTAATGTGATGATTCTCTGTAGCCCTTTACCATGTGTAGTTATTTATACCAATGCAAAGCATGACCCAGTCAAAGTGGTAGCATTTTAAACCTGCTCTGCCTTCACTTTGTGCTGATATAAAGGACTACACAAGGGATATGTCTATCGTGCCCCGAAGATTGGACTATGGGCTGTGAATAGCAATGCCCACTAAAGAGCTGCACTGTAACTTCCCTGGGTGGATGCTGAAGATGCAAACTCAAAGGTTTTGATTGTCACTGACATAGTCATCTTCAAACAGGACTTTATTAAAGGTGAACTCTGAACATTTCAGTTCATGCCTGCAGCATCCACATGGGGATGCACAGCACTTTTAAGCGCATTCCTATTCACACCCCCTCGTCTGAGCTGTGGGACCAGGTGAACATGCCCCTTGGTGCATGGCAGCAGGGAATCAAGCCCTGTGTTTCATAGAGTAACTGACATGTATGTGTCGAGAACTGTATGTGCAAAAGATTCCACTTTAAGGGAACACACTACAAGTCTTCACATGGACTATGCACTTGACACTGACTTGAATGCTTAATACTGTCTCTGATCTTTATGTACAAGAAGATAATGTATGCTTGGAGAACTGTATCAGTAAGACTACTCATACAGAGCTCATAATGCTAACACTTTTGATGCCAGTAAGCTGCTGTCCACATCCTTATTGGTTGAATCCACTGCCCACTCTCTCCAAAACTGAAATCAGTGGCACAAGCCAAGTGTAGAAAAGTGGATTTTAACTCTCACAGGGAGGAAAAACCGGTGCAGTTAATTACTAAATGCTTTCTCGGGGTCTTTGCCCATTCAAGTTTTGCATTGTGATTATGCATTTAACAGTGTGATTAGATTTAGATTGTAAGGGCTAGGGTGGGACAGAGACCAAGTCAGCCTTTGTCTTACACAGGATCCAGCACATTATTATTACTAAACAGATAAATACTAAGTAAATCCTTTGCTCCACCAATATTCTATGATTGTCGTAGAGATTTAAGAAACACACTCAAAAATAGTGAGAGTTCCCATGCACTGTCTATAAAGGGATTTTTAAATGAGAAGTGGACTAGAAAGACAAGCACAGCTGGTAGTGGAGGAAACCCTTCTTGTGCCTTGCACTGTGGAATTTATATATGAAGTAGTCATCTTTTAAAATGAGCCCACCAGAATGCTCCTCTGTACCTGGGGAATTTGGGCTACCTGCTGGATAAGTGCCAGCTGGCTTTTTCCTGTGTACTTAAATCTTTTTTAAGACCGCAAAAATTTCAGTGTTGATGTGATTTGGTAATTCAAGCTACTTTATTTTATTTTGCCTCTACCTAGCTTGTTTTCCTCAACCCCATTATTCACACTGCTTTAGATTGTGTCTCCTCTTTGCTCTTCCCTTCTACTCATCAATCAGGAGTATTGCAAGGTAAGGAACATTTGTAGAAGAAAGAAGCAAGCCTTGCTTCTTTCACTTTAAAACTGACCAGATGGCATTAATCACACCAGCACCACAGGGGAATGTTGTTTTATCACACAAGGTGAAGCCCTGAAAAATACCCAAACCCAATTTAAGATTCTTGGCTCACGAAAGGCATCAAAATACAACTGTGTCCACTCTTCATGGCACCCACGGCTTCTTTCAGAGCAGAGAACCCACCAAACTCCCTTGAAAAATACAGGAGCCTGCCCAATCTTCAGAAAGCCAACATTTCACAAAGCAAACCTCTCCGGTTCTCACCCTACCTCCAACCACCCATTCCTGGCAAAACTGTCAAAGTACCAACAGCCAGCCTCCAACAATGGAATATGTACCAACACTCTGGATGCTTTGCTGTTGGGCAGAAGCTGTATCTCAGTGCTCATACTGCTCACCGTCCTACGGGCTACTGCTAGAGCAGATGCTCAGCACGACAATGGTTCCTACCATTCCTCTCCAACAGAACCCAGTGACTGGTCCTGGGTAACTTCTCCTCACCCTCAAAAACCCTCCCCTACGGCTGCTCTTCTCATCATTTCACTTCCCTGAAATTTTATGACATGTTCCTCTGCCCTCCCACTTGATCCTAGGTGAAAATTTGACCACAAAAAATTAATTCATGTTGTTTTTACCTTGCCTTAAGGCTTTCACTGATTTTTTTTTGCATGCCTGCCGAAGTGAACATTGCACCCATTTTGTGCATTCATAACTCCCATTTGTGTGCACAGATTGGGCAGAGGGATACCCAGCTAATCTGCTTTTTCCATGCAAATAGCTGTGTGCAGTAACATAGTCAATATCAATGTCAGTGCTATATGGTGGGCACCTAATATCAGAGGGTAGGGCTGACTTTTTAAAATGCTTTTATAATTGGTATCATTCAAACTGTGCATAGGAAGGAAGATGATTAATATACAGTCTCTTCTTTTTCAGATTTCTCAGGGGACATATTTTCACTTATTCACACCTTCTACTGTGGCAAAAATGGACTATTTTCCTCACCGAAAACCAGCAGTATAATGCCCATCTGATATATGCCTCAAGGAACTCTTATTTAAAATCCGTTGAAAGTAAGTCAATTAACAACTTGCTTAAAGATAGCTTTAGTTGGCTGTATGGCTATTTGTGGCTCAAGAATAAGCATAAACTAAGCATAAACTAATAGCAGCAGTCTGGCTTTAGGCTATTGGGGGAATAAAAATGAGCAATAAAGCAGACACTGAAGTTGTGCTGTTCCCTGACTATTTGGTGCCAGTTCTTGTCACAAATGTTTTATGTACCATGACTATCCATCATGTTAAAAGTTCACTGCAACGAACTGTAAATCAGCAGCTCAATTGTTGTGAGTGTACAATGTGAACTAGAAGATTATCTGCATTGTAAATGAAGATTTGGATTCCTGTTGCTGTGACAGTTAATTTTAGAATTGACGATGTAGAAGTGGGGACTATAGACCATTTGCTGTTTCCTGTATTGTGAATAGATCCACTCTACTTCTGCTTTTATTGTGGTGGTAACTGAAACATCCTGCAGTTCCATGTAACTTTAGATCTAAGTGGAAGGCTTGACATTTATATCTGCACACCTAAATTGGTCAGGACTGTGAAAAAAACCACATACCTGACTAATGTAGCGATGCTGACATACCCTCCAGTGCAGACACAGCTTCGTCAATAGAAAAGTGCTTCCATCAACATAGCTAACATCATTCAAGGAGGTGGTGTTCCTATGTTAACAGAAAAAACCCTCTGTCAGTGTAGGCTGTTTACACAACGGTGCTAGGTCGACATAACTGTGAGAGTTAGCCTCCGTAGTGTAGACTTAATCTCTTTTTAAAAAATGCAACTACGCTTTAAAAATCCAGTAATGGTAGATCTACAAAGGCCATGCTGAGGCCATAATTCAGAACTCAGGTGCACATGTACAGTTAACTGGTTATCTGGCAACACGTGCACATGAGAGATGCCTAGCAATGGGCATATCCAAGGTCAGAGTTCTTTCCAGAATCCCTTCTTCATCCAAAAAGGAGAGAAGAATAGAAAAAGAATGTATTTTAATGTTCTCAGGCAGTTTGTTTCTTGTAGAATCCAGCAAATTTCTAAATGACGGAGCAGTGCCGGGAGGGGATCAGGAAGAAAAAAAATGTTACGTTATTTTGGTTCTGTTCTTTTCCATAGAAATCTCTTCCAACCACTCGTTAATCCACTTAAAAAATATTTTTTAATTGGTTCCAGCATTTGGTTTAGTGTGTGGATGGCTTGTCTGGGGGGATTTCTTATGGTTTCTTGGCAATAAGATTTGCATTACTTATTCTGCTTCTACTTTCCACCAGGGTTTGAGTACAATTTCCTCTAATGCCAGTCAGGTCCTTTACCAAAGTCTACTGAAACCAGTTGAAAGACTCTTGTTGACTTTGCTTTGGATCAGGCCCTTAATGTGCTGTCTTTTCTCACAAGCAGGGTAAGGTATTTCAGATCGGACCTGAAAATATTGACTGAAGATCCTATTGGATTCCATGCCCTTCATTTTGTTTAGTTCCCCTCTGGCACTGTTTTTACCTATCCCTTTCATTTGTCTGTTTTCATTTGCTGTGTTTGCCTGATGTAGATGATGAGCATCCTTGGGTAGGGACCATTTTGTTATGAAATCTCTGTAAAGCTCAATGTGACGTTTTGGTGCTATATAAATATAGTATAAATAATATTCATATTGCGTTCATATTCTTAGTCTCTGTTTCAGGTTCATTTGAAGATGCTTCAAGCTCTGTAAATGTTTTAGAAAATCTTGAGAAAATTCAGGTGTTCTTCATTTATCTCAGTGCCTTAAGCTCTCCCCTCAAGGTTTCTAAAGGTATTCTTCAAGAAGTAAGTGGAAGGTTTTGGTGAGACAGTATCTCTCGTTCTCTAACTCTTAAATTCATCTTGATCTCCTCAGTCCTCCTATTCTGTGGGTTTTTTGCACCTGAGTCACTAACCTGAAATGTGAAATATTCTCAAGCAAGTTTCCTGACCAAAGAATATTCAGTGGAGGCCTTTTATCTCTCTTGGTAGCTTTTAACCTTAAATAACTCAAACAAGTTAGAAAATAATAGGTGATTTAAACCAACAGTGTGTCAGAAACCTGAGTTATTTTAATAAATAATCCCAATCGATCTCTTAAAACAGATGATGATACTTTCTCTAAGGCTGAAGTTAAAATAATTGGACTGAATTTTTTGTTCTGTTATTTGCTCTCTTTTTTTAGATAATGGCACTATCTTGGCTAGTTTCCTGTTGTCAGAGGTTTTTATGTATTTTGGCTGAGGCTTCAGCATCTCTCTCTCTCTTCTCCCCCCCACACCCTTACCCTTTGGTTCAGGATATCTGATGCTGTACCAGTTGAAAGCGCTTCTAAGTAATTAGTAACAGTCTTTGGTTGGAGGTATTTTTTTAACTTACTAAATTGTTATTTTTCCTCCTGTAGCTCTGAGGGAAATCTGTTATTTTTGTACAGAAAGATCAGGGATAGCTTTAGTGCGGCTTCATGGGTTAAATTGCTCCCATAGAAATGAGGCCCAGATTAACCAATGTGCACTTCCACAGGGCCCCCATCTCAGGTTCGGCCTGGCCGCCCCTCTGTCCTGACAGAGGCGCAGCTGACAAATTTTAGTGAGCAGCACTGTGACCTGGTGCTTAGGTTACAGCACCATTCGGGTTTGGTTGGATCACCCCTGCGTCATGACAGAGGGGCAGCTGGGCCAAATTTGAGTGAGTGCTGTTGCAACTTGGTGTCACAGTGCCCCTCAGGTTTGGCACCTGCCATTAATAGTAGGGGAGCAACTCACCTGCTCCACCTGGGCACTGATCCCACAGTCACTGCCATTGCTGGCATCATCATGCCAGCCTGAGGAGATCCACAAAGCCGAGAGCCCTGAGGTAGGAGCGGGGTTTGGATTCAGGGATACCACTCCTACTGGAGCTCAGGGAGAAGAGGGACCAGGAGTGGCACCCTGGCTGACTGCAGGGCAGAGCCCCTTATCTGACTAACCCACAGACCTGGGCCCTCTGCACCCAACCCATCCCCGCACTTAGTATAGTGATATTCTAAAGCTGTGTTTAAGTGCGTTGCAGGCTTAGGATATAAAGCTTGATCAGTAAATACCCTCTGATCACTCCTCCCCATGTCTCATACAGATTATTCCTGTCCCTGGATGGGCTTCTCTGCTGAGAGAGCATAGCATGGGGCAGCAGACAGTCTAAATGAACCCATATTAACCTATAACAGAAGTTATGATAAATGTGCTTATGGCCTGAATTTGGCCACTTTTTTGTTCTCCCTTTCCAAAATAATAGTTGATTCTGACTAGCTTCTGGGGAGACAGAAGAAAACCCGAGTACAATGACACAGGGATACGATATGGATCATTGTAAATTTAAGAGGCTCTATTCTGTATAGAGCAAGACAAGTGACTTCATGAAAGATTTTTTTGTCACTATGAAATGTAGAATAATATCAAACAGCAGCATCTGTCCAGGCAGCTTCCATGCATGGAGTGCCATTGAGTTCAGTGGAGTTTCATGTGCACTCTGGGTCTACCCATGCAAAGCAACTTTCAAGATCTAGCCTTAGGCCCTATTGTTCCATGACACATGTACTTAATGTATATTGAATTCTGTGGGAGTCATACTTAGGTATCCAAGAATAAAATTTGCCCTTAGTATTTATTTTCTTGGCAGATAAAACAAGAGGCTATTTCAAGATCAGACTCCGGTTAGATTAAGGATGGGAATCTGGTGAAATCACTGCCAATCTAATTCTAAAAGGATAATTGAGAAGCTAATTATTATGGAAAATAGTTCAAGGGTATAAGGTTTTTTTAAATAGATAAACCTTGACAGTGCTTCTTTAAGGTATGTATTACAGGAGTCCTTATGTAAATATCACCGCTAAGCATAATATCGGGACCACTCTGATCTGTGCAGACCTGTTCTTTCTGGTATAGTGTTCGCTAAGTGTTCTGTCAGTGTGTGACAAAATCTGTTTCTTGGGCAGTCATGTGAGGGTCTTTGTCAAGAGAAATTAAATTTTCAGAGGACTTGGTTAGCCTATTGCTAGGCAGCACTGCCACTGGGGAAGTTCAAGGAGTTTTAGAAAGTCTTTGTAGAAGTCTGAAGACATAACATCTATAGGGAGCCTGAAATCATTGTAAAAGTAATAGGGATGGATGCCTTTAAAGGAAGGAAAGAGTAGGTGATCCCCTTCTAAAGGCTAATAGTCTTCCTATGAGGATAGAAAGAGAATTCTTTCATTCTGAGGAACACTTTCATTAGGATCCTGATCTAACTTTGTTTAACATTTATTTTATTTAGCATTTGCATATTCACCAAACCAAGCAATAGCATTTTTAGTGGCCTGGTGGAGCTCTCAGAGCCCTGCTGAATTTGGTTAGGGGGTACTCCTCGACAATGTGCATCATTGTTTGATCGGCACAACAGCTGCAGCTTGGTTTGTCTCAAAGACCCCAACGGTCCTGGTTGGCTGCACAGAGGCTTTGCCCAGTTCGGAATCAGTTAAGAAGGGCCCACTGGCAACGTGGCAGGTCGAAGCTGGATGGGCGAGCACCTGTGACAAGGAACTGATTAGAGATTGATATTAAGCACCACTCTTCTCACCACAGGGACTTCGCTGTCATGTCCTAGCATGGCAGCCTTGACCACAGTGGGTGTCGTGATGAAAGACGTGTGGCTGGTAAGCTAAAAGGGTAGCTGAACAAGGTCAGGCTTGGGTTGGCACATACCATCTCAAGCAGCTTGCCAGCTGCAATCTCCCTCCTGATGTAAATGTGAGCAATGTGGCTCAGAACTGGAAGCCATGAAAGATGAGTCAGCTGGAGAGTTCCTGTGATGATGTGCATTGTTGAGTTGCATGTCAACAAATTTGGTGTGTACTGACCGACTCCATACTGGCGCATGGTACTCTGCTATTGCATATGAGATGGCAAGGGCTGAGGGTTGGAGCATCCGCTTCCTGTGAAGAACCTGCCAGTTTGCTGAGAAGATTGTTGTGTGTGTCTTGACCTTCACTGCTGTCTTGCTCAGGTGGCTTTTGTATGTCAGTGTTCAGTAGAGGGTCATGCCTGAGTAAACTGGGTATGCTTCAGCCTCTGGCCACTCTTTATGATGTTTAGTTCTCTCTTAGCATTAGTATGGTGGAGATGGAATGTGCTAGAGAATGTCTTGCTGGTGCTAGGCTGAAGGCACCATGTCTTACAGTGGTCTGCCAGCTTTGCAGCATCATCACTCAGGGTCTTCTCCAGTACAGAGAAAGTTGGAGGCTGTAGTTCACAGCAGATGTCTACACAGATGAACTTCTGTTATTGGACTGGTGGCAGGTCATTGATGTATAGATTGAACAATGTTGTGCTTACTGTAATGAGAGATGGATTAGGTCCTTGTTTCCTAAAGTCATCAGTCCTGTTAATGTTTACAGGTCAATTCTGTTCATTAGGCAGTTTTGTTAATGGGAGTTATGCATGTTTATAAGTTGCAAAACAAAGTCAATGTGAGGAAAATGTCAATAAATGCATTAATTGACTACATAAAAATGCAAATACATTTGTTTTGCATGAGCAAATCTTGATCTGCACAGAAATTAAATTGTATGCAGAATTGTGCACTTGCAAATTTAAGAAGACCCACTGAAAAATCTGGCCCAAAAATGTTAGCTCACTTGTTTTTACAGTAGTTCGGAAATTTTGACACACAAATATGTTGAGCATATCAAAGTCCCATACTTTAAAAATCCTTGCATCATTCAGCTTTTCCAGTTCTGGTACATATTAGTATAATGTTCATTTATGGGCAGGTATCCAGTCTCCCAATACCTCTGTGAGGCAGCGAACTACTATCCCCTTTTTACCAATGGGAAGCTGAGGTACAGAGGGACTATTTTAATTTATTTATCCACATATTATTTATTTCTATTGTGATAGCACCTACAGGCCCCAGTCATAGCCCAGGGCCCCAGTGTGATAGGCACCATACAAGCACATAATAAAGACAATACTTACAGTCTAAGTATAGGACAGTAGATGGTACAACAACCAGACAGCAAGAACACAAAGTAGCAATGAGACAAAACTGGTGAGAAGGAAAAAGAATTGTCACAGCACACCAGAGGCCTAACCAAATGACTTGCCCTAGATCACACAACAAGTGTGGCAGAGCAAAGGATTGAATCTGGATCTTCCCAGGGCCAGACTGGTGTCATAAGCCCTGGACCACGCCTCTTTTCCAGTTGAAGAATTTTCAGAAAGGCAACTGGTTTGCTTACTCTGCGGACGAAAATGTAGATGTTCTAATTTAACAGTGATGTTCAAAATAAATAAATAAACCATCAAATCTAGCTAGACTAAAACAGCAATCAAGTTTTCTGTGATCTCTCCCAGCATCCATTATTGAATAACTGTTTAAAAAAAAAGT